CATCGGAGTGACCCATGCTAGGAGCTGGCCCCTCACGCCCGTGGACATCAGAGTGACCCAGTCCCACAGCACTCACAGTCCCTCTGCAGCTGGGTCTGCTGCTGGGACCAGAAGCCCAGGCCCTTGCTCCACTTGGTGAACAGCCGCAGGGCCTCCTCACTGGCTGTCTTTGTCCGACCTGGGGCAGAAGAAGCAGAGAGGGCAGAGAGACACCTGCCTGGGAACATTGTTCTGGGACCTTAAGAGGATGCTCCCAGCACAACAAGCCTGGGGGGAAGCAGAGAACAGCACGTGGGAGGCACACTGGGGCTGTGGACAGCGCCCTCCAGAGCCCACTCACTGTACAACTCCACAGTGTTGAAGGCTTCATCCCCGAACTCCAGCTGCGTGAAGACAACCGCGTAGTCTCTGAAATTAGTGCCCAGCACCCGGTACTCCAGCACGCCCAGAGCTGGAAAGTAGATGCCCCAAGTGGGGACGGGGTCTGTGCCACCCAGGCCCTGGAACTGGGGTCTACCGCAAGGAGACCCCCGAAGGAGCCCCAAGCTCTGACCCCGGTCTTCAGGTGCGCAAGCGCATGTCCCCGCTCGTGCAGGAGCCACTGTCATCCAGCCTGTTTTCCTCCTCCAACCCTGCCCTCAGCAGCCATGGACAGGCCAGGGGCCTGGGCCTCTGGGCCGGACTGGGGGTCATAAGGATCTCCTCACCTCCAGGCACCATAAAGTCAGATCCTATAACTTAGAGCTCGCTCTGCCCCGCCAGCCAGGCCTGGAGGATGCTACCGGGCTGGATGTCCCCGCATCCCCACCGACACTGCCCAAGGACACCCCTGCGTCCTCATACTCACGGGGGTTGTGGAACACCCATCCCGAGTCCCGCCGCTGCAGCTCCACCGTGCTCTGGCTGCAGCCCTCCAGCCTGGAAAAGCAGAGCCCCAGCACTCAGCTCAGTGCCAGGCCACCAGGGGACACAGGCGCTTGGAGGTCTGCTAGGGGTTGGGGCCAGAGAGGCCACTGAGCGAGCCATCTCCCACCAGTGCCCCAGGCCCCTAGAAGCTCCTCTCTGGAGACACAGCTGGCAGGGCCCTGAGAAGGGACAGTGGCTTCCCTCTGCCCCTAAGACCCAGGACGCCAGGTCTGCGTGAGGAGGGCAGCTCGCCCAGGCGAGCAAGGAAGTTAGAGCCAGGCACCCCGGTCTCCGCCCTTGAGGGTCATCGAGAAGACAGAGGGACACACCTTAAAGGCACAGTAAGTAAGAGACAGAAGGAGCAGAACAGGAAGGCCAGACAGAAAGCCAGGTTAGCGAGTAGAGACACCACTGGACAAACGAGGTTGGACCGTCACACAGTGGTGAGTTCTGATCGTGCTTTTCCCCGGAGTAAAACCCCAGTTGCAGCAAAGATGCCCATACTGCATGCTCCTGAAGACTCAGAGTTTTGAGCTGTGCTGATGAACTTCCAACTCAAGGCTAATAAACAAAATTCAAGCCAAGTCAACGAACCGCAGGATGCCCCTCACTGGCCCTTTGAGTCCCAGCCCCGGCCCGGGCCCTGCCTGCCTGCAGCTCTGAGCTCCCATGGTACCAAGTGCCCAGTTTGGGTACCAGCTTCCTCCAGCCCTACTGGAGCTTACCTGCAGCCTCGAGTTGGTAGAAGGCACAGCTAGGGTAGCCTGGGCAGGCTCTGGGTGCTTGGGGAGCAGGGTGGCGCTTGGGGAGGGGGACATGCTTCCTCTCCTGCCACACACCTGCCTCGATGGCCCCAGCCTCCCTGCACAGCCACCCACCCAGCCACCTGAGCCACCCAGCTTGCGATGGGTCCTAGGTCTCTTCCCTAGGAAGTGACACTGATGCCAATGCCACCAGCTCCCCCACTGTGGTCCCCAGTACTACAGGGCCTCCCATACACACTGCCCATTGGTCAAGGCCAGCCAAGCCCACGTGGCCAGTGTGGCACGTAGCCTCCACCTCATCCCCATGAAACTAATTCCATGACAGAACTGGGGCCCAGGGGACCACGTGCAGGACCCACCTGTGCTCGCCCCTCAGGAAGAACCCCGAGAGAAGGGCCGCAGCACGGACAGACAGCCCAGCCGACCAAGGACCAGGAAGTGTCGGCCTGGTGCCCCGGGACGCAGAGCCCAGGGCGGGCAGAAGTGTAAGGCACAGGGCAGAGCCAGGGAGAAGGGACGGGCGCACAGTCAGGAGCAGAGTCCACGCGGCCGCAGGCTGAGCGGGTGGACAGGGCCGCTGAGGAAGCCCTGCTAGGTGGTGACCGGCACTGCCCGCTCACCCGTGCCGAGAGGACAGCAGCTCCAGCCTGTTCTTGGCGCTGAGCGTCACCACCACACCCTCCACGTTCCTCGTGTCCTTCTCCAGCATGAAGCTCTTCTCTCGGGAGGCCACAGCGAGGATATACCAGGGACCCAGCAGCTGTGTGGACGTTGGCAGCGCAGAGATCCCGGCTGTCCTCCCTAGGGCATCCTCGCTGTTGGGGAGTCCCCTCCCCCATGCAGCCCCCCACCCCCAACACTGGCCTGGTCTGGCCCTGGGGGATCAGGCTGCGTGGCCTCCCAGGAGGGGAGTGGCACCCCAGGGCTGCCCTGCTGTCCGGAGGGGTCACCTGCTTGGGATCCAGTCTCCCCAGCCACACCGCCTGGGCCCTGGGCATGGTCACCAAAGCCAGGAGAGCGGTCAGCTGAGCCACCCCCATCCTGCCCAGGACCACACACCACCTCTCAGAAAGGATCTGCCTGCTCCAGCCAGGAACCATTTTTATGGCTCTGTCCTCCACCACGTGGGCAGCCAGCCCCTAACCAGTGATGGTGGCCTAGCTGCTCTTCTTGCAAAGTGGTGAAATGATCCAAGGGCACTCATTCCACATTGGTGGCCCTGTGCCCAGCTCAGACCCGCGGCAGAGCCCCTGCCAGGTAGCCACGTGGGCTCATCCCTGCTTTCCTCCGCACTCCCCCAGCCCAAGTGCCTTTCTCTACCAGCCACCACAGCCCCTCTCAGGCTGGCACTGCCCTGGCCAACCCTGGGAAGCCCCTGGCACAGCTCTGGGCTCTGAGTGGGACACAGTATCCCCATGGGGAAAGCCACTATACCGACTCCAAGCTGCCAGGGGCATCACTACTCCCCGAGGCAGAGCAGAGGCATGAATGAGGCAGGCCCTATCCCTATAGGGAAGAGGAGGTGCTGGCGGCAGGCACTGGTGAAGGTCCCCAGTTGGTCAGGGGCCAAGGCTGAGGCTAAACCCACAGCCAGGCACAGTGGACAAGACCAAGGGGTCCTTCCAGAAACCACAGTCTGGGATCCGTTCCAGTCATTAAACACACACCCACCCCAGAGGTCTGAATCCCACACCTCTACCTGCGGAGACCCCACAGCCAGCCCCCTGGCCTGACCATCCTGTTCCCTCCACCCCATTGCACCCACCCACTCACCAGCTCTCCGAGCCCTGGCTGGTCGGTGCCTGCCCCCAGGGTCCCAGGAGCTGTCTGCAGCCTGCATCTCTGATGTCAAGTCATAGGAGCCCCTGCCGGGGAACCCTGTGGGGGAGCAGAAAGAGGGGAGGGGGCTGGCATCTGTAGACCCCTGCAAGGCCGCAGCCTGCATCACCCACCTGGCAAGGAGCAGGAAAGGCAGCTGGCTGGGGGTGTGCGACCCACGAGAGGCTCCTCATGCACCTCGCAGACTGTGTGCCTGCTTCGAGCCATGCGTGTGACCAGCCACCAGCAAGGGGGTCTGTGGCCAGTCTATGAGGACCACAGCCAAGGACAATGGAACAGAACCCCGAGGAAGGCAGATCTCAGATCCCGAGGGTGGGTTGGTGGGTCCCAGGCCCATAGAGACCTCCCTTGGGCTGGGCGAGAGCTGCAGAGGCCGGCTCTTAGCACAGCCGCCAGAGGGCACCATAGCCACATCCTGCCCTGGGTCCCCTGGTGGGACACAGAATCCCCAGGGGAAAGCCAGTAGACTGACTCCAAGCTGCCTGAGACACCACTACTCCCCCAGGGCAGGGCAGAGACCTGAACAGGGCATGGCCTATCCCTATGGGGAAGAGGAGGTGCTGGTGGCGGGCACTGGTGAGGACCCCCAATTGGTCAGGGAGCAAGTTCAACCTCTCCAGGGTCCTAAGTCAGAGCAGCCACAAACATCAGGAGCCCATGGTCGCTGATCCAGTCCTGGGCCAAGTGTTCCCAGGGCCTCCTGGACTGTCACTAGCCACAGCATGGGGATCCCAGTCTGGCGAATGGCAGCCCCTCCTACCATGGGTAGCTGGGTGACCTCTGTGGCCAGAGGAGGTCCCCGGGCTGCCGGCTGCCTGCTCAGGGTCTGACCTCTGCCTGTCCAGCTGCCTCTGGCTGGATCCAGTCTCTCCGGGCCCTGTACCAGCCTCAGCTCTGAAGCCACTCCACCCTGTGTTCTGCTCCAGGGGTCATCCTTGCAGTGTTCCCATGCACAGCTCCACTGTTCCTGTCCCTGGCTCAAGCCTCTCTCTTCCCCTGCATGGCATCCTCTTAGAGGACCCTCAGCAGGCGGGACCTGGCATCTCTGAGGCCCTAGGCCGCCACCATCTTGGCTGGTGCAGCGGCTCCCTTCCCTCCCTCCACCCTCAGCACCCTTCAGTGTGGCGCCAGGGCACCTCCAAGCATGGGCCCTTGGGGCCTTGGGCTCCTAAGCCTGGTCCTTGCCGGCTGAGACTCCCAGGCCCCGCCATCCCTGTGCCCACAGTGCCTCATTACACCTGTCTCAGCCCCTGACCATGTCCTGGATCCTCTCTGCTCCTGACTGGGCCGGAGGGCACAGATCTTATGCATTCAGGAAGAGGGTCCGCTCGCCCTCCTGCAGGAGCATGCCAGCTCTGGACAGGACTGTGGCTTCCTGCCCACCCCAGTGCTGACCGAGTACAGTCCTCCAGATGTCAGGCAGCCACTACCCCTGCGTCACAGAGGGACAGGGAGTGAACTGTCCAGCCCAAGGGAGCACAATGCAGAGCCGCCTAGCCAGGGACACACACTGTTTCTCATGTCCAACCAAGAGAACCAAGGACAGACAGACAGGCGGATGGACAGACACCATCCAGTCGGATAGCTACACCACGACCACCACTACTGTGGACCAGAGCTTGCACCCCCAGAATTCAAGCTGAAGCCCTCATTCCAACAGCAAGGTGACAGAGGTAGTTAGACCCCATGAAGGTGTGCCGGTAGAGTCCCTTGACAGGGTTAATGCCCCAATGAGAAGAGATAAGAAGGATCTACCTCTGAAAAGCAGACAGAAAACTCTATCACTCCAAAAAATGTCATCCAGGGCTGGGGAGAAAGCTTGGCGGCAGAAGTGCCTGTCTGGCAAGCACCAGAGTCCCATCCCTGGTGCCATATGCCATGCCAGCGCTGGCATTGGGCGTGGTGGGGCAGATCTGTAATCCCAGCACTAGGAAGGCTATAACGGGAGGATCTGTGAGTCTGATCTGCGCAGGGACACCCTGTATAAAAAATACATATATATTTTAATTTTAATTTTACAATGCCATGCATTAAAGAAAACTTATAGTCAAGCCAGGTTTACACTATAAGCCAGTGACACATGCCTACAGTTACAGCACTCTGGGAGGCCGAGACAGGAGGACCTCAAGTTTAAGGCGACCCTGAACAATTCAGCAACTTGACAAGAACTTGTCTCAAAATAAACGAATAAATAAATAAGTGAGGCTGGCGATGTAGTCCAGCAGGAAGATCCCAGATTCAGTATGAAAAAGCAAGTTTATAACCTCACAATAACAGACACATAAAAATCAAGAATCATAAGCCACAAGCAGCCAACCCTGTCCATGGAGTGAATAAAGCCATATTTATCTTTCCTTGGCTTCTATAGAAAGAAACAAAGGCCTGCCAAATAGCTCAGCAGATTAAAGCACCTGCAAGCAGGCACAGTGGCCAGGGATTCAAGATTCAATCCCTGGTCCTGCCATGCCAGCCCCGCCCCCAGGGCACGCTGAGACGGCGATTGAGAACAGTGGTGGTGGTGCACGCCCATAATCCCAGGTCTTGGGAGGCTGTAAACAGGCGAACCACTATGAGTCCGATCTAGTAGTGAGACCCTGAACACCCTGTAGACCCTTCCCTAAAAATACAAAAGAAAAGAAAAGAAAGAAAGAAAGACAGTAAGAATTTAAAGCAGTTTGGCTGATAACAAATGGTCCCAACTCCAAAAAGAAGGTGGAAGAACAAAAGAAGAAGGCGGAAGAAACATTTTAAAGGTGGCGGTAGAAAAGAATGCAAATAGGAGAAAAGGAAATGAGCCGACACGCTCAAAAGAACTGGACATTGGACCTCAAGGCCAGTGGAGGATTCTGGGGTCCCTGTGTAAAACATCCAAGGGTGAGGGACACAAGCTGGACACAAGGCAGGGCAGGCAGGCAGGACACACCTGAGCAGGGTCCACGGCCCTGACCGTGGCAGAGTCCACGTGAATCATGTGGAGTCACACATGATGTCATCTCTCATGAGCAGGGAGCTGATCACGCACATAAGCCAACCCTGGCGAGCTGTGAACGAAGCGTCTACGAGCTCTCCAGCCAACCCGCCCTGATCACAGCGCAATCAAACTGAAGCAAGCCGGCAAGACCTAGTGCTGTCAGTCAGCACGGCAGCTGCCGTGAGATGCCTGGAGCAATCAGCTTATGCAGAGAAAAGCTCGCGGTTGGCTGTGGTTCTGGAGGTCTAGGCCAAGTTCTAGCTGCCCCACGTTTGTCCCTGAGTTTTGTCATGACGGGGGCATGTGACAGAGCAAATCCTCTTACATCTCAGGAGCCAGAAGCAGAAAGAAACTCAGCGTCCCCAGGGCTCGTGGTTCCGCCAAGGACACGCCCCCAGACACCCTGAGAGAGCCTGCCATGACCAAAGCTTTGACACGTGAGCCTAGGTGTCACTCGAAAGCCGGATCCAGGGAGATGGCTCAGTAGAAAAAGCGCTTCCCTGGCAAGCACAAGGGTCTGAGTTCAATCCCTGGTTCCGCAAAAAAAAGAAAAAGAAAATCCGGATCCTAACACCAGCTGCTTAAAAAATAATCTAGGAAAAGGGCTGGTCAGATGGCTTAGCTGATTAAAGCGCCTGCTTAGGCAGGCGCAGTGACCCAGGTTCGATCCCCAGAGTGCCAAACCCCTCCCCCCTACAATGAGACAGCAACTAAGACTGGGCATGGTGGTGCATGCCTGTAATCCCAGCTTTCAGTGTGGGAGGCTGAAAACAGGAGGATCACCAGAGCCCAATCTGTGTAGTGAGACCCTATAGACCCTGCACTAAAATACACTTTAAAAAAAAGTGTAGGATAAAAAATACAAATGGATGGGGCTGGTGAGATGGCTCAGCGGTCTAAAGCACCTACTTATACTTAGAACAAGCTTAGCAGAGCACAGGGACCGCGGTTCAATCCCCCAGCACCACATGCCAGGCCGCCCCGCCCCCTGGTGGGCTGAGCTGGCCACACACACACACACACACACACACACAAATAAATAAAATTAAAAAAAAAACCCAAATGGAAATTACAGGGCTTTGTTAAATAAACATAACACTAGGAAAACAGTGACCACAAGAAGTCATACTTTTAACATTTATACCATTAAATATGAACTAATTAAAATACTCATGCTAAACCTCACCTCAAAAGTAAAAAAGAAAAAAAAAGTTTAAAAAGTTTAAAAAA